ATAAAAAATGAATAAAGGAATCTTTCAATAATTAAACAAAAACAATCCCAAAGTCCAGAAAACAAGTCACTGAGCTTAACAGACACAGCAAGGACATGTAGTTCAGACCCCAGTGAGGTCAGACTGAAAATTGCTCTATGGACAGCTTGGAATCACAGGGGTCAAAGTGGGTTGTGGCCCGCTGGTGAACCCCAAGAATGCTTCCCATAGCCCCGGCCTCACCTGAATGTTCCTCGTCTGTCAATGGCCCTGTAGCCTGAGTGTCTAGATTCCAGGATTTGCCCCCAGCACACCATTACATGGTCCATAGCTATAAGGCATGCACAAGGTTTGTGAATAAAAGTCAAATATCCAAAGTGCAGTTCATTGAGCACAATGGTAATGAAGTTAGTCCAAATTCATGTCAATTCACTTCAAACAGTAACTATAATATGGGCCAACAAAGACAGCAACCTTCTCAAAAATTCACTTAGATATATCTTAAATAAAATAGAAACAGCTGCCATAAGTGTTAATATTCAGTTTTAAGCCATTTTTAAATGTTAAAAAAATGTTTAAGTCTTGACAGTATAAATAAATAAATACACGTTTGTAGTGGTTTCTGACTTTGGTGGGCTTAACGAGGTCGAAAAAGGCGTGCTTTTTGTGACAACTTATCTACTGAAGTCCTATTGCTTTCAGCTGCTTTGACTTGCGAAATCGTGTTGCTATGATGTAACTAAGCGCGTGATAAAGTTAGAAAATGGACTGCTGTTAACGTTMCCGCATGTTTGAAATCTAAATAGACTAACCAATTTGTTGAACCATCTACTAAAATTATTTCTGTCTGTGCATGATTTKATTTTTCCTAGAWCGATTACTGATTTCTATCAACGTGACATCTTAATGCATGGCGTTTGGCAAATAATTATTTCAGTTTTTTGACTGAAAAGAAAAAAAAAGACACTGAAATAATTTCTAGGAAGAAGAAATCTGGAAATGGTAACAGTGTTCATTCTGTGTAACTCAGTGTTCAAGACCTGGAATCGAAAACTCATTTTAATCTATTTATTCAGTTCATAGGCGCTTGAAAACTCCTTGAAAATCGGGAAGGACGCTTAGTCTGCTGSAATACTMWTTGAGTTTGATGCAATTTGAAGATTTCTTAATTRAGTTATAAAAGTGTTGTATAATCATAAATCGTGAACCTCGTAGAAAACAGAAAATATAATCAAACACTTTCAATTAATCTTGACAAAAACGCCTTTTTCTGCTTAAAAGAGGCCTGAGTATTAAACGACCTGAAATTTTGCCATAGCACGAAAACCAGTAAGCGCTTTCATCTTTATAAGTCGTCTAATCCTAGTTTGTTGGCCATTTTTTTATCAGAACGACTGATCTTATTATCTCAAAAGARTTCGGAAAAATTCAATATTATCTAATTGTGTCAGTATTGTGCTTTTAATGTCTGGCTTGCTTTTACGTTTTCCTTTGCGTCTCACGAAGGGAACTTTGTCTCATTCAGCTGTAAACACGCTGATGCTCCAAATAAAGATTGNGAGAACCTCTCATCTGAAATTCTATACGAAGAGCATAATACACTATTTTACCTATTGGGTTTACATTGGTCAGTAAAATTTCAGTAAAGAAGGTTCATGGCGAGAAATTCCATACAGTTCGCGCGGTCAGCGGATTTGCATTGCAGGCGCGTGTTATGATATGCATGCTGCACTAATATGGCTGCCAGTAGCGTTAAAAAACAAACCTATCCCGGTTTCTACAAACAACTTAATGAGTCAATAAGTTGGTTTCTGGAGCCTGTAAGCAATAAGAAGAAAAGCAAAAAGTCAAGTGGGCCTTATTATCCAGTAGAAAGAATAATTACAAAGAGAAAAGTCAATGGAAGTGTAAGTATTAAACTCACATTTAAACAAACCACCAACTATGTATTTATTCTATTTGATTTACCCTTTAAATACTGAATTACGTTTTCAGACAGAATATCTTGTTAAGTGGGAGGGCTACAGCTCGTACTCCTGTAGCTGGGAAGACGAAATGAATCTGRCAAGAGACCTTTTACAGTAAGTTCGAAAATCACTCTCAATGATGCRATTTTTTAACAAAACCCAGGTATGCCAAGGAGACTTGACATTGTTTTATCTTAATTGCAGATCGTACGAAAAGCCTATCATWAACAAGACAAGGCTGCAGTCTAATATTGACAATCTTTGCAACAACATTATAGCAAAGCTCAAGAGCACGTCAAGGGCCCCACTTTCATTCAACTTTGAYCATGACTGTTTTCGTTTTTTGTTTGGAAACAAAGGAAATATATCCAAGGATGGGAAAGCTTTTATGATGGAGAGGAAAGATTTTGCCGAATGTCATTTTTTCAACAACTGGGATCAGTCCTTGGACAGCAATGGGGATGGGGTGGTCATAGAATTCCCTATGCGGGTRAGRTTARTTCTCTCTTTTTCTCCACATGTCACTGTATACCAGGATGGAAAGCTCTTTAAGCAACCAAGAATGCCAATTGAGAAACTAAAAATTGACTTTGTTCGTAAGCCATACTCTGCCACTTTGTTGTCATAGTATACCTTAAAGCAGATCATAAATTGTAACTCCATAGCTGGAAAAATGTGAAAAACAATTATCCTTTTTTGTACTTTGTTGTGAAAACGTGTTCTTACTAAAATAAAGCAAAAAGAATTTGAAGTCTCTATCTTTCTTTTTTTCTATTATTAAAGTAAATGTTTGGTAGAAACTGCAGCATCATAATTTTTACTCTAACTTGAAGTTTAATTTTCAAATTGAAATGTTTTGGTCATGTCCATAAATAACATTGTATTAACCGATTATCTCTGTGTCACTCAGTGGAACCAATACTGATGAATACATACAAAAAAGATCTATAACACACAAATCCATGAGGATCAATGAATATGAATTTATATAGTTAAATAAAATATAACATACAATAGATAAAAACATGAATCCACGAGGATCAATAAATATGAATTTATAGAGCTCAATATATACAATAGATAAAAACTTAAATCCATGAGGATCAATAAATA